ATGAACCCCACGTGAAGCAGAAGCCAACGAGATGGAGACCAGTACGGAAGAAGATACGTCCCGTAAAATTAAGAGACCTTGTTGAATTTTAATTTTATGTTTGTAAATTCTGTACATTTAATTAAGTTATTGTTAATTATCTATTGGTTTAATGTAAGTGGATATTGTTCGGGACAAACAATACTAAAGAAGGGGCAGTGTTACGACAGCGGTAGTCACGCGATGCTGGAATCATGCGCGCTGGACTTTCTAGAAGGATCATGACTTTTCCTGGCAACTCTAGTCTGTTCCAGTCGCCCTCTTTTTTAGTATATAAGCCCGGCAAATAAAGCGGAGATATAATGGCAGATAGATAGATATAGAGACAGATAATTGAGATAATCGCGTCAAGCGAGCAGTAGGCACCGTAAGTAAAGTGTGTGAATCGCTGTGAATTATAGCGTGTGTTTATAAAGGTAGTTAAGTTTAAAGTGACTGTGGAAATTAAGTGTATTACAAAGTTTGTAACGAGAAAAAATAAACTAGCTTTAATTAAGAAAGGATTTGTATCGCTGAAGTTTCTCGGAAATAATTTCTACGGGAAATTAACAAACAAGCAGATGCGTAAAAATATTATACCACATACGAACAAAGAATTCTATAATGTAATTAAAAAGTAACACTTATTTTATATAGGTGATGTTGAAAATAAAAACGCTTAGGACTCATGGCGTTTATTTTTTAACTGACTGAAATACTTTTATGATGTGTGGAGAAAATAAATATGCCTCTAGGGGTAACTGACATCCGGTGTTTCTACGCATTGACCTTTTGAAAGTTCTACAAAAATACGATTTTGCTTGGGCTCAAGATCGACATCTATTAGGAACTATTTCAACCAGCTGCATCTCGGAAACGAATATGACGAGTCTTTTATTTTTACGCTTAACTGCTCTTTTACGGTTGTGGTTAAATGGTTTTAACAAAATGTTAAGTGGCCGTAATACGTTACATTAAATTATTAGAAAGAGAGAGAACGACACTTAAATTAATAAAATACAAAGATCAGTCTATAATTGACACTTGGGCGATTTTTTAAACTAGCCTAATATTTCATACATAGCTTCATTCCTTGTCAGTTTCAAAAGGTAATAATTGATATTAATTCTAAGTTGTTTTAAATAAACTATACACGTGACGTTTAGTATAGTTTTACCTCAAAATAATCACTTTCTTCTTCTTCTTGTTTTCAAATATACTTTTACGCGCGTTTTATTTCATGAAATATTATCATATGTTTTTTGTTTTGTTTTTGAGATAAAATACACGATCAACTATCATACAGACCTTAACTATCGAAAACTTTTAAACAACGCCTTTGAGATTTATGAATACTTAA